CCAAAACCGATGGATTTAAGGGATTTGGATATTTTCGGCATGCTGCTTTTACAACTGTTTCCCATGGATGACTACAAATGAAAAATATTAAAATTTCATATATCACATAATTTATTTTCTATTAAAAGAATGTCAAAAAACATTTTTATAGAAAAATTTGGAAAGTTAGAAATAAACTTGTACAAAAAAACACTCACTCAAAAGTATGATGTGATGTCCACAACTTCATGTTTATAGAATTTTTTAGTATAACGTATGGAAAACACAATAATTTAAATTATTAACAATCATACGAAAACATTACACTTCGACACAGTGAGGCACGTTCACTGACTTCGAAACCTGATGTAACGTGAAAAAGAAAGCTTTCCAATGAACGTTAATCTTTTATTGTGTATCGATCTATCAAGAGTTGGTATACCTGTTTTCAGCAACCAATAAGGTTTATTTAAATTAAATTTGATTGGTCGACGGTTCCGCGCCGTTTTCTATCAATTCAAACGTAAAATTTTCTTGTCAAATCACATTTAATTTAATTATAATATTTGTTTCTCAGTGCATAATTAATAAATAAATCATAATTTCTGTTATATATTTTTTTTTATTGTATTTTTCTAAATAGATTGAAAGATTTGAATTTAAATAATTTTAACATTTTTGTAATTTTAACATTTGTTTATACTTCGTAAGTATAATAAATCGCGCGGTCATTTCGTAATAGTATCAAAAGCAAAGTGAATCGTAGTTTAATTGTTGAATATTATTAATTGTTATTCAAATTATAATAAAAATATCAATTTTATGATTTCCTAAGTGATATATTCTAAGTTATAAATAAGATTTGTGTAGTGTTTGATTATTTTATTTGTTAAAATGTATAAAATAAAATTGTATACTCCAAATTTGTGTTGAGAAGAAAGAAAAATTTAGAAGTCTTCTGAAAAAAAATTAGTATGCAGCAAGCCAAGTGGTAAGTAATTTTCAACGTTTTCTTCTTTGGTTAACACATTTTCTTTATGAAATCCTGTAAAGAATATCAAGTAAAAATAATAAAATTTCATATTAAGTGTTTAACATCTTACCAAAAGTAGTATGAATTTTTTCTTGTCCTGATCTATCTCTAATATGTAATGGTACTACAGGCTGTGGACCTTTATGATTTATAATAATATTTTCAACACGTTTTAATGCATTATATACAAGTTGAGATTTTGGTGCTCTAGTTAAATATACAACACATTGAGTTAAAATCACATCGCATTCTGGCATTCCAATCATTTCACATCCATGCAAAGTATGAATAGCTATGCCTAGAAATAAAAATTAATTGTATGCATTATAATACTTACTATAATATTGAATCATTCTACAAAATGTATACCTAGAGCATCTAAATCTGCTAAACCAATATCTTCACTTGATATTCTTATTAATCTTCTTGCAATATCTACAGGATCTTCTTTAACTTCCATAATTCGTGCTAACCAATATAAAGATGCATTTTCTTTACCAGCTTTTATTGATTTATGTAAAGCAGAATATAAATGATGTATATTGTTACTTTGTTTATCAGATAACATATGTGCTTGTTTAAGACTTTCTTTAACATCTTCTAAAGTTATTGAAACAAAATTAGAATTTAGCCTATTTGATATTTTAATTTTAATAGCCAATTCTAAACCATTCAATGCAACACGAGCATCTCCATCACATACTTCTGCTAACCAATCAATAGCTGTTTTATTAATAAAAAAATGTGGTTTAGAACTAAAATTTAAATTATTTTCTAAATTAGTTGACAAATTTTTGAGAGGAAAATTATATATTTCTCCATTAATTGATGAAATTGCTTTACAAAGAATTTCTACAATATTTAACATTGTTAATTTATTTAAAGCAAATATACGGCATCTACTTAGTAAAGCAGAATTCAAACTATAAGATGGATTCTCTGTAGTTGTGCCAATTAAAATAAATGTGCCTGTTTCAACATGTGGTAAAAAAATATCTTGTTGGAGTTTATTAAAACGATGTATTTTATCCATTATTACAATAATTTGATTGAATTTTGATTCAGTTTTTGTTATACTAATAATGTTTTTGATGTTACTCACACCAGAAGATGTTGCAGAAAGATTTATGATATTTACTTTCTCTCCATGCATTTCTTTGCTTAGCTTTGATATAATATTAGTTAGGGATGTCTATAAAAATAATTCATAAAATTAGTATTAATAATATTTAAAATATTATAAAAAATAATAATTACTTTTCCACATCCTGATGGACCCCAGAATATCATACTAGGAATATGACCTTTTGTTAATAATTGTTGTAATATTGTATTAGATCCAACAACTTTTTCTTGTCCTATATAATCGTGAAAGCATGCAGGCCTCATTTTTTCACAAAGGGAAATGAATTCTTGATTTTGTACCGATTGCTGTTGATTCATGTTTTTTATATTAATCAATGTATTGGTTTTATATTTTTTAATGAATTTATTTCATTAATCTTCTTTCATAAAAAATTTCTTTGGCGTTTTCTTTGGTATTTCTTGTGATATTTCGTTTGAAATTATATCCCTTAAAAAAAAGTATAAATCAACATGATTCTCTATATTCTTTACATATACATATTAAAATTTTTTTTATATACTATACGAATTATGATGATACAATTTGAATTTTTTTATTTTCATAATATTCAAATAAGTTGTCTATTATTAAAGTATAGGTTATTTTGTATAATATGAATATTAGAAAAATACAAATATTTTAAATTTAAAATTTTTTATTTTTTCTTTTTTTTTTTTATTTTAAAAATATTATTTTTTAAAAACTGACAATCGCCAGTAAAATAAATCATCGCACCATTTATTGCTTATCATGCACGTTTCAGTATAAATACACGTGATTCATTTGTAGTTGAGTTGAGTTTATAATTTTAAATTATATAATATATAATATTTTAAGATAAAAATTTATATAATGTTCTTTTAAGTAAGTTGAAATTGATGGAAAATTTTTGGATAATATTCTGTATTACCAATAATATCTCTTTTTAAATTTCTCATCAGGAAAAATAATTATTCACTTTATACAACATGTCAAATTCGTGGAATAAGAATAATTATCGTCAAGAACAAGAAGCATTTATTTCTGGTCATGGTGGGACAACATCCAGAGAAGTTATATATGCTATTATGCCAAATATTTGTAGTATTTTATTGACTACAACTATAATAGGTCTTTTCAATGAGGTTATCCATAAAAATATTAGAGTTTTAATAGAATTTGCATTAATTGTAATTCCATCTATTTTATGTTGTACTATATTATCTGAATATGTTATTATTGTGTGTTTTATTATGATGGCAATATCTGCTATTAATATTTTAATATTAGGATTTAATTTGAATTCTTTACCAATGCATCATAGAAAATCTGCTTACAACAAAAAACCTTTCATTACAAATTTCAGAGCATTAACTAACATAATAACAGCAATATGTATATTAGCTATAGATTTTCATATTTTTCCTCGTAAATTTGCCAAAACTGAAATATTTGGATATAGTTTAATGGACTCTGGTGTTGGATTATTTATATTAGCTAATGCTTTAGTAGCTCCAGAAGCTAGAGATTTTACTCCTAAACCTAGGATAGGTTTTTTTCATACTATATCAAAAAATATAAAATATTCAGCAAGAAGTTGTATTCCACTATTAATATTAGGTTTTGGTAGATCTGTTGCAATTGAAATTTTGGGATATCAAAAGCACGTAACTGAATATGGTGTTCATTGGAATTTTTTTATAACTCTTGCTTTTGTAAAACTATTTACTAGTTCTATAACAAGTACCATCAATTCAAAATATTCATTGTTATCAGGAATATGGATTTTGGGGATGCACGAATATGTTTTGAGTACTAAGGGGTTAAAAGAATGGGTTTTAAGCAACAAACCAAGAGATGATTTTGTATCTGCTAACCGGGAAGGTGTAGTATCTGTTCCTGGATATGTTGGACTTTATCTAATAGGCGTAGCAATTGGTAGATTAATTCATTCCACTTATCAGAATTCACAAGCACAAAATCCATTCCAGCATAAACTTAAAATAATTCATATTAAATTGTTTGGATATGAATTTGATGCAAATTATAATGAATCCATGATTTTATGTATTAAATTATCTTTAATATCAGCTCAAACTTGTGCAGCTACTTTATTTTGTGACACATATTTTAGGGTATCTAGACGTTTAGCAAATGCAGGATATTGCATGTGGATTCTCACTTTAGGTGTTATGATACTTACATTATTACTCTTGATAGAAATAATATCTGATATATTAGTTTATAAAAACATAGATTTAGAGTACGATCAAAAGAAAACTAAAATGCAAAAAACGAATATAAAAAATAAACGAGAAACCGTGTCTGATAAATATGAAAAAAACGTAGCAGAAAATACCATCGAAATATTCGAAGCTGTTAATTACAATGGTCTAATTTTCTTTTTATTTTCGAACTTAATGACTGGTGGTATTAACATGTTAGTACCTACGTTATATATAAATGAATTAAATGCTGTGCAAATATTGATCGCATACATGGCTGTAAATGTATTGTCAGTTTTATTATTGTACAGAAAACAGGTACAAATTAAATTATAAATAAAACGTGCGACATGTACTAATTGCACACTGCAATGTATGCAATTTTCTACTTTATAAAATTAAATTACGAATCGGCGTAAACAATTAACTTCAAAATATTTACACTGCCATTGTATAGACATATCATATTGTATTTCATATTTATTGCTGCTCTTTTTTTTTTTTTTTTAATAAAATAAGTATGTACATATATATGTATAAAAATAAGTAAAACATTTAGTTGGTAACAAATCGTTTCATTCATTCGATATTAAGTCTAGTAATCTTGAATCTATCATTCAAATGTTTCGTTGTCATCGAAATAAATTACCTAAAATATTCATTATAATTCATCTTTGGATTGAGTATCGGATTTTAATTCGGTTACTTTCGATTTAGAAGTTGCACTTTTTTTTACATCACTCATTGCGCTAGTTTGATTTTTCATTTCCTTATGTTGGATTTTTTTAGCGATAAAGTTTTTAAACGAATCATGATTTTTTACGTAATCGGTAGCTTGCGAAACTATACGTAAAAATTCTTCAACATCAAAACTGTAATTCGTGAATTTTGCATGCGCTCCTCCATCAGGATGCGTACCCTATTTAATTATTTTCATAATAAGTGTCAAATGAAATTTTTTATTTGAAAAAAATAATTACTTACAGGATCTTGTTGCACTAATTTCGAATTATTTTCCCATGTGAAGTACTTTACACCGCGCAAACGAGCTAGATCTTTATAACATCCTGGATCTTCGCAATTATATCTATATAATAATAATACGTGAGATGAATTTTCTTTTTAAAAGAGAAAAAATTGTTCAATCATACGTACATTTCAAATACTGCTGCCCAATCTGGCAAAAACATGAGATGTGTTAGTCCAGCTCCATGTATACCAATAAAGATATCAGAATTTCTTGTGATTTCTAGTTGTTTCTTAAATGATATTTTTTTATTATAAACTACCTAAAAAAAAAAAAAAAGGATTTTTCATTATACTTCTATTCATTTTAGATATTGATATCATTAGATATTGAGATCTTTTAATCGATACCTTTTTCACTTTGTATAGCGGATTTTCTTTCAAAGCTCTCACCAATTCATCCTCGTTCAGAATTCTTCGATATTGTGTATCTCTGCTAAGCAGAGTGATTCTTATTCTTTGGTTTTTCCTTTCATGGAGAGGTATACGCAATCTGTGCAACACATGTTCACCGAAAGCTTTGAACAATCCACTGTTCTCACAGCCGTAAATCTAAAATCATATTCATGGATAAAAATCAATCGTACGACTCATTCTTGCGATCATCGATTGAAAAAAAAAATGAATAATCGTACAAGAGGTGTATTATAGTATAGGCCAAAAATCATTCGCGGCAATAAGGGGAATACAAGATTCTTGAAACAGACGGTTTCTCCTCGAAACGTTTTTAAATCCCACAGCGGGTTTCTCGTGAAAGCCTCGAAAGCGTCTTGGAACGCAGAACGATAGCTGAAAGTAGCAAAGAACTCATTAACATCTCGTGGTTTTTCTTTTTCGATGTCGGTTACCTGTAGCTTTCCCAAATCATTATGTGATTATCAGTATTGAAGCCGGCTGGATGCGAGAGATTTACGTGCAATGACGCGTATAAGTTGAAAAAGTCGCAGAAATGATGATACATGTTTACTACTGAAACAGAACGACTTTGACAAATGATCGAGATGCGGGATATTCGCTAATTTGACAGATTTTTACGACACCATTGTTGATCATGGCGGTCATTCCGACTCATCCTTACGACTTACTAGCGTCTATTTTCATTACGAATGTTGGCTTCTTGATCACGATATCACAATCGTGATTGACGATTGGTGGTCGAGATAATTTGCGGAAATTTCGTAGTTCGGGTCCCCAAGATTGCAATGGACTAATATGATCCGCGTTCTCTTCTAATCTTTTTTCGTTTAATCTGGATAAACGAGACGGTTTAAATCTTTGATCGTTGCTTGCTAATATGTTTCACTCACGTGCAGTATCCTCCAATTTGACCTTCTTTTAAGACATCCATCTTGTATCGTATAGGTTCCTTCCTTCCGATTAGATCCGTGAAATTGATCATTATATTCCTTGCTCGGCAGAATCTCATGTGTTCCGAGCATTCCAGAGAGGAGTCATCCTGAAACGATCAAAGTTAGGAGAAATAGGAATTGAAGAACAATCGGAACTGTGTCTATAAAACTTACCACGAACAACGGTTCACAAAAAATCGACATTTCTTTTCTTTGATCGCGTACGTAGCCAAAGTCGCCTTGAGCGTAAAACGTCTCTACCTGTGCTTTTTTCGTAGTCACCCATCCTCTGTGATCACCTGGACATTGAGGAACGGAAAAAGAATTTTCGGCTTTGCAATTCGGCTCGTAACCCCAACAAGCTTTGGTATCAAGGCTACCCTAAGTTTTTCCAAGAAAAATTCTTCGTTAATATTCATCTTTTGTTAACTCGAATTATTTACAATTCGTTCACGTGTGCAAAATCCTCGATGCTTCCACGACTATTCGTACACTCTCGTGCAAGCAATGAAAACCAAAAATGAAAATGCGAGCGAAAGTGTGTATACCGAATGCGTAATTTCATCTTTAATCGATAAATCCTTGCATAATCGCGTTATTAACACACCGCGTATTACCTTGTAGGGACAGGCGGTATTATTGCGGCACTCTTCGGCTACCGTGGGAAAATAGTTGAAGTAATACTTGATGTGATCGGAGGGCAGATTAATGTCCGTGTAATTACTGTACGTGGATGTGACCGCGAACACCATCACGATCGTCACTGAGTATTTAATATTTAACGCGTAATCGATCATCATAGCGGGATGCACTAATGAAAATTAAACCGGGATTCCCTGAGAGAAGGTGGCGTGCACTCGCTTTACGGAGTGACTGTATCGGCGTGAATGGAGGAGGAACCACCTGTAAGAGTGGATGGGTATATGACCTCATCTACTGTGCGTACTCTGTCCACACAACACGAACGTCCGTACACCCACACGAACGCCGAGCGTGCCTCCTTAAAAGAATCGGTGAAAGTCAATGCTAGAAGTTAGAATACCCGGTAAACTTACATCACGTATAAACTAACGTTTTCCTACCTATCTAGCTATCCTTGAGCATTGCTCACCGTGGAAAAAAACGTTCTAGAGGGTCTTCGTTTTATTTTTAAAATCATTACCGGTATTTAAAATCCTGTTGTAACCCAATCGGTAATATAGTCGGTCCTGTATATATATCTTAACGGTGAAAATAATGATTAAAAGTACTCACACGTATGATACGGAGCGGATATCCTCAAGTTCTTTCACCTTGAGACACTGTGGGACAGGAAACCGTGGGACTTTACTTTCACGCACGATCGATTGCTTCCATGATGTATAGTTTCAACATGGCTGAACACAGTCATAATTTCGTGTTTGATATCGATGAACTATTTCTCGTATCGTTTAAGTAACGAATCGAGTCGAATAAATAGAATGGAAGACACGTTGTTTTATGAACGATTTAGAACATTATCGTAATGCGATTTATTGGAATTTTTTTGAATTAATAAACATCCGATGGAATGAATTGTCACGTGATGGAATAAATTGTTGGAGTTCGCCATCTATTGGATTTAAGGAATAACTACATTTCTAAGTTTTTTCTACAGAGAATAAGTATTTTTGCTACATTTACGATCCTTGATATTAAATTTTCTTCTTAATCAAATATTGGTAAGATCGAGGAAGGATCACTACCAACGTTACCGATTCAGGGTAAAATTGGAACTGCAGATCTCATCTGTGGATAAAGGGTTAAATACGTGAGAAAAAAATATATTAAATTCTTTATCGATAGAAGATAGAGCAGAAAAAGACAGAATTAAAAAAAAAAGAAATTAATTATCGATTTTTATAATATCGATCCAAACTCTTCAATTTCTTCAGATTCAAATTTCTTCAATTTTTTTCTTACATACACGAAGCATATATTTATATATATATTTATCGAAGTATATATCGTTTAAATGAATAATAATTAATAGTAATTAACGATTAAACAAAGAGAAGAAACGTAAACTCGCGCCAAAAAATTTGAAATTCCATCGTTTAGATTTTCACGAAATTCTCGTTCCTCAAAATCGAAATAAATCTCGAATACATCCAACGTGGTACAACGAGTTTTCTCGTAAAGGCATCGTTCCGTCACTATACGACTTTTGTCTAACCACATCTGTGCATCTAACGTCAATGCAGAATGATGGCTTCCGTTATTCAGCATGTTTGCACGGGAAATAAACGGTTGTATTGACTCTCGATAAGCCCACGAGACGCGCCTTATGCTAATTCCCGGTAGATACGTCAAAAACCGTTTCGACGTATACGGTAGAGACAGTTCGATCTTCTCTCGAGGCGTGGTCCGATCGTAGATCGTATCTTCGCATTTTATACGATTTTGCTCGTCGAAGAGAGATTCGAATCTAAAAGGGTCTCGACGTACACTACTCGAGATACGAGCGAGTCCCACACTCGGTTAGGTATGGATCGTTACGTAATCTGGAAGACTCCGGGATAGCTGCAGTTGCTCGTTGCTCGCAGGTGTCTTTATCTCTACACCAGAAATCCTTTCTATGCAATTAAAGCCAGGTTTGGAGCAAGTTACATTGTGGTCAACAAAAGGAACACGTACGTACGGGTTAAGAAAGTTATTTATTTAAGTACAACTGTTCCTTTCTAATTTCATTTTCGTATATATTCTATGTCGGACTCGTGTTGCGAATTGGATAAACATTTAACGTACGTGGGAACACAATGGAACGTACGTGAAACTGCAATGAAAACTAATCGTTTCGAAATGTTCAACTTCTATTCTTTCGAATCCAATCATTTCCATTTTAAAATCTATCGACGACGAGAATTGGAAGATAGATACACAGAATTTTGAAAATCGGTGAGATCGGGAATATAAGGGAATTAACACGTATAGAATTCGATTCGTTCTTTAAACTGGCTATCGGCAATTCACAAATCAATGCTAATCGATGCGAGGGAACCGAGATACACGAGAGACAATAGCGTGTAGGTACTACCTCCGGCGTCAACCTGCCAACCATGGCGTGACCCGGAAACGGATCGCTTCGAACAAACTGGTATATATATATATATGTATAGAAATACATTATATACATCGGTGGAGACATAGCGGACCGGCCGGTATGGATCGCCGTGGATAGATGGAGGGAATGATCTACATCGATCACGATCACGGGCGCCCTCACCCTGGATCGAGAACCGGGCACGGTGCGGTTTACAACGGTACCTCTTGGCCGGCCCATTATCGACGAAATCGCCATCATCTTTCTCCCTGATAATTTTATCAGCCACGAATCGGCTTTTGTGAGTTCGCGCCACGATCTGATCGGGAGGGGATTATTGATCGGGTAGCCGGGATGAAAAATACCCCCGTCGCGGCCGGGAATTACTGAATCGAGTGGCGCGGCACTTCGACCCACGCTTCGAGGAATGGGATAAATGGCCGGTAACCGTGCATTTGTATGATCAATTTCGCGACACCGATTGCATAATCGTTTGATAAACGCGGCTCACGTGGAAGTGTAACACACGTAGAAATGCACGGCGTACAAGTTGTAAAACGAGCGCGTGGCATCGGTGTGTAACGCGGGGATTGTCCCGACACGGTGGCGCCACGCTTCGCGCGGCCGACACGATGCAACCTACGCGAAATTCACCGCTCTAACGTTTTCTTCGTAGACCTTCTTATAGGGTTCCTCCTATGAGACAGGAGGTACGCGCAACAACCGTGGAGAAAATCGTGGGGGCGGCGCGTCACCGAGTAAGATTGCAACGGGTGTTGTTGCGAAACGAGAACACGAGGGCACCCACGCCACCGCTGAAAAAATTCGGCGGAATACAAATTTTCCCGGATCCACTGTACTTTTATATACTTTTGCTCTACCACTGTATCCATTCTCCCTGAAGAATAGATCCCTGATCGTCTATGCACGGATCCGAATAGTTGCGTCTATCAACCTGCGCGAGCAACTCGTCGTATATTATCGTGAATCTACCTGCGTCTTTTCTCTTTGCCACCCACGCGTCCCATTTGAATACGTATACAGACATAAAGTGTAACGATTGCCGTCCCTTCTGGCCGCGCGGAACGTTCGGTTATCGGTAGACAATGCTTTGTAGATCCTCGGGACAAGAATCGTAAGTGCACGCGTTACTGCCTGCGAAATAATCGACGTAAATCCCGGATTTTTCCCGGATCGAGCTATCCGAACCGTGGAACGGCCAACCTGGCCCTTTACCGTTCCATCCTTCTGGTCGAAAATCATTGGTATGGCCGGGGAAACTGCGCTCCCCAACCTCAACACGTATTATATTCCACGCGCCGATGTATAGGTATACCGATGGATCATGATCGAGCAGTTGGAATTATTACACGAGATCGTGTAACGCACGATTTACACCTCGATTATCCCCATTACGAAAATCGTGGAAAAGAGTTTCCATCATCGCGTGATGATAATTTTGTCCGCAACAAAGGATATTTCGAAATATTGGATTTATGGCGTGAAGTACAAGACCGGCGGTGTAACTGATCGCGTGGTAATTGAGAAACCGAGATCCGATCTATCCACATTTATAACGAACCGAATTAGAATCCGATTATCTCACAGATTGCCGCGGTGTCGGATAGAAATTGGCCGGCGGCGTTAGACTCGAAGAAATTCCATCACACGCTAGCCACTCGTTAGGCGACGCAGGACTAATCGCTTAATTAATAGATGATAAATGTTTGCAATTCCTTCCTCCGCACGTACTTCGTTACCGTCGTGGCCGATTAATTTTATCCATCATGGATTGAACGCGCGAGGCCTGGATCCGATGCACAAGGAAGTCATCTTTCGCGTCAACCTCGGGGATCCTCCTCGAATTTTCTTCGCGTTCGTTCGTTCGCCACCAACGATTTATCCTTGTTGCGCCGCACAGGTCGCGAGAGGTTACGGTTCCTGATGTCGAGCGAGTGAAAAAAACGCGCCAACCTTTAAAATATCACATGGGGGCTGGCATGGAGTTTAAGGTTTCCTTCTTAAATTCAAGACGCGATTCTTTCGAAAACCATACATACATGCGTACGTATATACGGCTCGGCTTCGAAATAACTCTCGAAACGCGCATAAAACACACTTCCATTGAAATTAATATCAATTCCCTTGAATTACCCGATCTCTCTTAGCACGCTTAACGGATCGGAGTTAAGTACAACGAATAAACCCGCGTGTAATAAGGATGTGTAATGGTAAACGGCGAAGATTAATTTTTTTTCCGGGGAAACGGTAAGGAAAAAACTCGTTGCACTGATGCAACGGTGATGAAAAATTGCATGGTTCATCGATCGGGAAGTACGGGAAGCGAGAATAGACGATAAACAACGCATAGCCCCGAGGCTCGTTCGATCGACTTTCCATTCCACCTTCGCTATACACTTGCGGTTGACACCGATTCTATCATACATCGTCACAGACTGTCATAAATATTATCCGTGATACGCGTTGTGCTCGTTACTAACTCGTTCTAATAATAGAATATTCGTAAATTCGTATCATTCGATTCACGATTTCTTCGCCTCAAGACGTTAAACATTAACGTTATATTCCGTATATATATATATATATATATTTATCGTGATAAATTCAAATCGAATATATTCCGATAGGAGAGGTGGCTGTCATTAACCGAGATGTCAACGAGTTACGCAATCTCAAACTCTCCGCTCCCCGTTATATTGGAGTTAGATCGTAAATGGATGGGAGTAATTGAAATATTAATGAGATAGGAGACGGCAACATGGCAGTCATATATTGGGCGTATATGTAAACGGGAAAAGGCTTGGCCACATTAATATGAGCTCGTACGAAAAGTGAACAGCTACGAAGACACTGACTTGGAATTATCGTCCACGATGTTCGATCATAAAGTGGAACCATAAATCAAATATCATTTGTCACGTCCATCCATCTTAAAAACCGTCTTAATTTCTACGAGGGACACGGCTACCGCATTAGATCCTAAATTTTTTTCTTTTGCGATTCAAAAATTCCTAATACGAATTCTCGTCTACCGTATTATCGTCTAATCCGACCTCGTCTCATTCGACGAGGCAATTGCTCTTCCGACCGTTCGTATCCGGAGAATAAATTGACGTAGCGTTTTGACGAATATCAT